TTGAGTGGGCAGAGTGAACCAATGGCCTGCGTTGCAGTAACAGACATATAAGCAGAGACAGGCTCCCCCAGGGGTGACACTCAGCCTCTTCCCCTAACCAGCTCTGTCACTTCAGTTGGTTATCAAGTCAAGTTGTACTTCATTCTTTTCCTGCTTATTGTGGAAATAATGTGGCTTAGAACAGCACTTCTCAAACTTCTGATGCTTGTGCAGTAAGTGATCTAATCCAATAGGTGTGCAGTGGAGCTTGAGTTCCCAGGTGAGGCTGACACTACTGGTCTGGTGATGACATTTGGAGTAACAAAGGTTTGGGGTTCTATATAAACCCCCAGTTTTATATAAAGCTTCTGGTTTGATTTTTATATAGCTAGTTCACAATAAATGACCATTATTGGAACAAATAGACTGTTGGAACAAATGCAGCTGATTTTTCTTAGTTGAGAACTGCTTCTACAAATCTGGGGCGAATTCTTATTATTCAGAATAGAAAATGCTCCCAATGCATTTGAGGAATCTTCAGGACTTTTCTCAGCAGCTGTTGCTGTGCTTCACTATTCCCTTAAAATAGGCACTTTGGGTCTTACGGTTCCATTAACTTCAAGGAGAGATTTTGTTCAGTGAAAATAAAGCACTAGGCCCATTCTTGATCACATTTCTCATACCACTACAGAGATAATTAGCTCCTGCCTCCAGACATCCAAGTGCTGGCTCCTTCTAGAAGGTGAGGGTGAAAATCCAGAGTAATCAGGCCACTGCCCCACTGTTAGATTCTTAGTCTTGAGGCAAATGAGAGTTCCCACAGCTTCGATGCATAATACTGGTTTATTGCTGTTTGGGTTTGTTTTATGAAGATGAAAGGGATAGGTCTAAGATATATATTTCTGTCCCTTGAGTTTGGCCAAATACGTGAAATGTAACAATGTAGTGAAATGGGATATACAGGTGCAATACTAATCTTTACTATTAATAAAAGGAAATTAAAAATAAAATCCAAAACTATTTAAAAATAAATAATAAAAGCCACATTATATTTCAAAACTATAGGATAGGGCCACAGTAACACATAGAAGACAATTTAAAACAATACTGTACACCTCCCCCCAAAAAAAACACACACACACAAAAAAATTGAATCTTTCCTTAATTTAAGAAGAAATAAAAAGAACAAACCATAATACATGTTAGGAAGAAAAGAGAAGTAAAAATAAGAAATGGTTTGTTTTATTAGTTAAAAGGTGAAACATAGAGAGAATTACACCTTCCTCAAGACTTCCTGCTATGGATCTTAGAATATAGGCCAATGTCCCCAGCAAAATAGCCATCTATGTCTCTGTACACCTGGCATATCAAAAACACACACACTTCTTGTAGCCACTCCCACCTCTTCTTCCTAGGTCTTAACCTCATATTTGAGTTCAGACTCTGCACTGAGAAAGCCTAAAATATGTAAATAAGTAAGCCCCTTGATGATGGAGAAAGGGTTGTCTCTGGAATCCATCTGCCCTGCATTCATTATGGGTCTCAAATGGACTTGGATGCAACATTAGAAAATACAGAGCTTTACAAATTGCGCTTAACATCAAGGAGTAAATGAAGCCTGCTCACTTTGTACCACACACCTTAATAGTGACAGAGCCTGTGTCTGATGCAAACAGCCCCGTGCTGTGTCTGGGGCTGAGAACCTTGATCTGCAGCTGGACATGGAAATTAGGGATTTGTGTGAGGCCTGTGTGGGCACCCCAGAACCTTGCCTTTGATAACATGGATTAGATCTGGTTTGCAGTCTTAAAGTAGGAATGGTCAAGCAAAGGCAAATTTGTTTTTATATTTTACTCCATGCATCATTTCTTGTTTTACAATATGGTTCAGGAAACACAAACTCCATCATGGAAAGCCCCATGAAAAGGGGATTTTACAGTCAAATCCAGACAGAGAGAAAAAAAAAATACTACCCATTGTGTCTGTCTACAGGAAATACTTGATGCTTTTATGAATATGAAAGGCTGACAAGGAATGCTTTAAGGATTTCTGTTTAAATTTATTTAGCCCAGGGATCAGTAAGCATTTTCTATATAGAACCAGAGAGTAAATGTTTCAGCTTGGAGGGTTGTGTTGGTCTCTTGCAACCACTCAACTCTGCCATTGTAGCCTGAAAGGGGCCATTGACAAGTTAGATGGCTACTAGATGTCTCATAAATTATATAAATGACTGATTACTATGTTGTACACTAGAAATTAATATAACACTGTATGTCAACTGTAATTAAAAAAAATAAAAATAAATCAACTGACCAAAGATAAAAGGAGCCATTGACAATAGAGAAGCCAATGGCCATGGGTGTGCTCCAATGCTCCAATGGACCCTGAAACTGGAATTTGATGTAATTTTCATGCGTACAAAGTATTCTTCTTATTTGAGTCTTTTTAACCACTTAAAAATGTAAAAACCATCCTTTGCTCTTGGCTAGTACAAAAACACAAAGTGAGCTGGATTTTGATGTGGTTTCCTGAAGCACCCCTAGTAGAGCCCATTCCATCTGACCAGAGAACCTTCTCATACATCACCTGATGACACATTGACATTCCAGGAGATAGGGGGTCCTATAATTAGGAGCCACTCAACATGCAGTTTGTAAACTAGCAGCATCAACATCAGCATCATCTTGGAACTTGTTAGAAATGCAGAATCTCATCCCTATCAGAGCACTGACTCAAAGGCTTTGGGAATAGGACCCGGCAATCTATTCTCACAAGGCTTCCAAGGACTCTGATGCCCCTTAAAGTTTTAGAAGCATTACCCTAAATCACACAAGGAAAACTGCTGATGTGGGAACATTAAATGCCACTGGGGGAGGGGGAGGTGTCAGAACAGTTCATTCAGCCATTCATTCAATAAGCCAATTAGCATAAATTGAACATCTACTAGGGGCCAGACCCCTGAACAATGTGATTTGAAATAATTAATAGAATACTGTTGGTCCCTTAATGGATGGGAAAATGTCTTACATCAGGGCCCCAGGGGATAGTTTTGAGTGGCTCTGCTTCTTATTTCCTCATTTACTCAGCAGGCTTTGCTGGCTGGGGCCACACTCCCAGCTTGGGCAATACACAGGAAGGAGGTTTAATGCACTTGATATGAGTCAAGTGTTCCACATCGCCTAGATAATAAATGCCATTTCGATATTAAGATCCTTTCAGTCACTGAAATTACCATTAAGTACTGTCTCTGAGAATGTTAATATGCTTGGATTTTGGTTTTGTGGGACAAGTTATCCAACACTAGCAGTAAACATCTCTACAGAGGGTCCAGGTGTGTGCTCCATGCCTGCTCTTAGTGCTCCTCTTAGTAGGAGAGGGGATGTTGCTTTTCCAGCTTTGAAATGCTGTGAATTTGAGATCTGCCAGACTCATCAGCTTTCCTCCCAAATCTCAGACATACCCCCACACGTTAGAGCAGGTCAAAGGTGTGGGATCTTCTGGGGGAACCATGAAAATGGTGAAAACAAGGGTATTTGCCATGTGGCTTCTCTGCCATCTTCCCAACTGCCCATCAGCCAGCTCCTCACAGGGTGCCATCAGCTTGAAGCCAATGGGCCCAATAGCTGTTCTTCAGATCTGAGAATAGCAACTCTGAGAGGAGATTGCCAAGGAAAGACATGAAACCACAGAGAATGAGACAGAAGAGAGCATGTGTGAGGGAGCATCCATCAGCAAATAGACCTGGAGGGTGGGAAGCACACAGACTTCTGCCTTCTAATAAACTGAGCTGTTTATTGAAGGAAGAAATTCCATAAAGGAACAAGCAGCAAAATGCAAAGCTGGAGAACAGGGTGAAAAGACACTCTTGTTTGTCCCCAGGTGCTAATCCTAGGAGAAGGGACTGGAGGCTCAGGCACTCTGCTTGTTTCCCTAGTTTCAGGCTTCCCTGGGTATTCAGCATGCTTCCTGCCCAGCCATTAGTAAAGGAAAGCTAATTAATAAATACTGGATTTGTTCCACTTTAAGCGAAGAATACATGCTTGTCCAGAATGAGCAAGGCTTTATAATTATTAAACCCCCAAATCCTTACAAACAAGGTAAATCAGAACTTTCTATAATATATTCCTCTCAACAAGCCTGTGAGACTGGTATTACTTGCCTTGTTGAAGCTCAGAAACGGTGATAGATTTGCCCAGTCACTCAGCAACTGAGTACCAGAGCCCACAGCACCAAGTAGGTCTTTCTGACATGCAGGGCCCTCATCCACTCCACTAAGTTGCAACCCACAGTCTATTCATTGTTTCCATGATCCATTGTTTCTTTCTTGAGGGTAGACCCCAGTCACTCAGGAGAACATTGGAATTGTGCTTCTGCTCATCTCAAGGTTAAAGAATGACTTGGTGTAAATTCCTTCCAGTTTCTTTTTCCTAGGTCCCTAATTTCTAAAATGGAGACCCATTTTTAAGCAAAACACAAAGCACTTAAAGCTCTACATCACATCATAAGTGCATAATCTAGTGGCAGTCAATTAGCATATTCCCTCCTTATTGGCTGTGAGTGCCACCATCTTTGTGAGGGCATGGTGGTTAATTAGCATATTCCTTCTTTAATAGATAGGATATACATACATATGTGTATATGTCAAAACTCAAATTATACTTGAAATATGTGGAATTTATTGTATACCAATTAAACTTCAATAAAACTGTTAAAAATAAATAGCTGTGAGGTTAAAAGTATACTAACTCAGAACCATTCCCTCCATCCCATCATTCTTAACACTTGGGTGGTATGTGTCTCAAAATATACTTGTAAGTAGACAGGTATGTATCTACCTCCATGGTAAAGCTGGCATTAATGGCTTCTTTTGGGAAAATAGCATAATTCTCTTCACCCCTGTTTGAAGATGGCTTTCAGCTCAGAGGATGACTGAGTCAAGGAGACAAAGTGGGGGCCATTTATATCCCCTATTTTCACAGACACATATAAGCTCTCACATGTTGAAATCTGCTTTTTCCCAGGTTGGGTGGCCAAACCCATCACTGACACCCCGTCCCAGGCGCCCAGCCACCCTTCACCACTACCATGGCCGAAGACGCTGACATGCGCAATGAGCTGGAGGAGATGCAGCGAAGGGCCGACCAGCTGGCTGATGAGGTGAGGGATGGAGAATGAAAAGGGAGTAAAAGAGAGGGGCGGGGTAGTTTGTCTTATTCGGGATCAGGTGGGAAAGGGTTATTCTAATATCTCAATTAAAATAAACACACACACACACCACTAGTCTGCTGGAGCAGGCTCAATTCTGAGAGCTGATCGATACATTTTCTGGAACTTTGCAAGCTGGTATTAAAATTGAATTGTATAAACTGACAAATAAATTATATTAAAATCAGAGGTAATACTCAAAACTCATCACTTCTTAATCATTTTACTATTTTTACTACAATCTATGCCTTCAAAGTTCTTGACATGTTTGGGGTCTGTACATGCTTGAGGTGCATTACTACAAATCTTCTCGAAGTTCACCATCCGTGACACCATGATATACTTAGAAATCAGACAGGTGAGAGTATTTTTACTGTGGGAACCTGCAAACACTACAAATCAGAGGTGAATTTATTGTTTTGTTGATTATATAGATTTAAGAGAGGGGAGAAAATCCTAATAATGCAGATTAAAGTTAAAAGTGTGCACATGTGCAACTATTACACTATAAATAGCACGAAAAAATTGAAAAAAACCTCCTAGTATTTAAAAATTATGATTCTCTTCACCAAAGAAGTCTCTTGCATCATTGATAAATGAGTAAAGTTCCAAGGTATGTCTTTATTGCTTCACTTTCCTTAGTCATTCACATAAATGAAAATATCAACCAGCGTTCATGCCACAAACAACTTGTTCTACCTGTACTTAGTTATGGACACAGAGTTTAGCACAAATCCACAAAAGCTTTCTGTAGAATCAATTGGTTATATGTAATTTATTATAAAGAGTATTGTGCATTTTATTATTATTTATAAAGTTTGTAAACTTAAATCACATATATTCATTCTTTTTTTCTGGAAGGCCAGATGTGACACATTTGTTAGCACGCACTGCTTACAGCCATTCTATTTTTAATAGCAGGCTACTCACAGCTCTTCCAGGAAAGTTAACATTCTTTGTTTCTGCAGAATCTTGTCAAAAAGAAGTTTGTCACTTAAAAGCACAGCTTTGAGAAATCACACTGGCTGTTAGATTCTAGTAGTCTGAAAGGAACCGGGAAAAAAAAGTGATGACACTGTGCCTGAGGGACCAGACTTCCCATCTCATTTTTGCTTATCTGAGGATGAAGATCATTATTATACCTACCTCCTCTGAGCTGGTTATTTCAAACTTGCTTGATCTTTTTCACCCTAAGGCAACAGTTTAATTTGTATTGATAAGAACTTCCCATTGTGTTTCTAGGGGCTTTATAAAAAATAAAAAAATAAAAACACACCTCAATGTTAGATTTATCTCAATTCATGAAAAATTATATTTGTGTTTAAAATGCAATATTCCCATTCCAGGGTCGTCAAGTTAGTCCTCTGAGTATCTGAGATCACTTTTCATGCAGCCTGCACATGAAAAATTATATTTTCCAGATTACTTTTTCTGATATCAAGATCAGCTTCATATGGTTTTGATTGTTTGAAGATCAGCTGCTCTCTAATTGCTTCAGGGAATCTTGTTATGTAGAAAGCCTGATAGGAAAGAGACTGAAAATGGGAAGACCTTTTGTGTTTCAGTTACACATATAAAAGAATATGTAATAGTAACCCTTTGTGTTTCTCAAGGGAAGAATGTAATTCTGATTTTCCAAGATCTCTGGATCCTGCACTTACAATATATATATATTTTTTTGTCTTAGTCACTCGAAAGCACCCGTCGTATGCTGCAACTGGTTGAAGAGGTAAGGAGTGACCATATTGTCTGATAAACTGATCCCACGGCTCACATATTCTTTCCCTGACCCTCCTGCCTTTCCTGGGCTGATTGATTCTGGTGTTCATGGGGCCTACCAGGAAGCCATACAGTGAGGGAGGTGCTATAGTGAAGTTGCCAAGTAGTCATCAAAGTGCCCCCTGCCAGCCCAGACTACCTTTACAATCTGAGAAGCAGAGATGGACAGAATTTTTGAGTAAATGCTCCAGATTAAAACAAATCAGAGTGACTTTTAATATACAAAGGAATGATCTACATCAAAATCTATTTGTAATGATTTTGATGCCTTTAAAGTTGCATCTAATATCTTGACATCCTCTTCTGTCTTCAGCCACATGTGAAACTTTTAAAAATATGTACCCCTATACATATAACATTTTCAGAAACTTTTATGTTTGGACTCAGGCACTAAAATGCCTGATATAAGAGGGGGAAAATAAAATAAAATTCATGAAATAAAAAGATAATTCTTTAATAAGGGAGAAATATTAAGACCAGTCATGTAAATAGAGAAGCTTTTTTATATTCCTAACTCTGGATTAAACATCCATTTGCGAGGCATGGTTAATGAGTTCCCAAAAACTATTTTTAAATGGGTAAAATAGGTCAGATAGCAATTATGGAATCAAAAGCCCATTTGCAATAAAACTCACTGATTCCAATTTGGGAGAGCAGCAGTCAACCAGGAAGAATAAAAGGATTAATTGAACATGTCCTTTGGGAGAGGTGACATGGAAAAACAATAGGGTGGATTATATTTATTTAAATAAATAAAATAAGCCTAATAGTTTTTATTCAGTAAGATGCTGTTTTAGCTATAGTTTGAAACTGATAATCAATGTGTAAATTCATGTGTGGTTATCATTTTTAGAGATCTTGGAGGTTCTATAGCAGAATAATTAAATGAGCCAACTCTCCTGATACCACTGTAAATTGCTTATCCAATGACATGAAAGGGGGAAAAACGAAAAGATAAATTTTCCAGGCTAACAGGAAGGGCAACTGCCTTTCACCCCAGAGGAGCCAACATCTTCCCTTATTTCTTCAGCTTTAGCTAGGAAGGAAATATAATGATTAGATGTGAATTGCCACAGGAGGAGCAGGGAGAGGTGATAACTAGGAGCTTCTTGGGAAGGGCAGGGAGGTGGATTCAATAAAGTCTGTTATCACAAAAAAATGACAAATAGAGCCTGCAATGTAGTACAAATTGGCACCCACAGAGAGGCAGGCTGTTAAGGGGACCTCATCAGCATAGGAAAGCAGCTTTTGCTCTCTAAAGGATGAGAAATTGTTGTTTGCTCTGTCCTGGGGACACCATTCACACAGAAATCCTTGAAAACCAAGGAGGAGGCAGATAACCTACATCCAGGATTGCTGGAGAGGCTCTCTGAGTAGACTGATTGTTCCTCAATCTGAAAGCAAGCAAAATGACAAACCTTAGTAACGTTTTCTGTGTGACCTCTGACATGGACCTGAAAGGAGCCCAGAGATATGCTGACATAATTATCCTGATGCGTCTTTATTACCTTCAACTACAGCCTCTAAGCTCATTTTTTAAAGTTTTGCTTACATGTGTGCACAATGAAGTCAATCTCTACAGTAGCAGAACTACCTCCAATTTGCTTACCTGTGCAATGTCAAGACACTTCTCAAAACATGGAATATGTGGGAGCAAATGCATCAAAATGCACCGCTTTGAACCAGCCCCTCACCCAGCAGAGTGTTTGGGCCACAGACATCTTGTTTGTGTCTTAAATCGCAGACAGTGTCCACTGGTTCTCAAAAAGGAGTGGCTGTTCCGATTTATTCTGGGGGAAAGGAATCTTAAAAGCTCTATTGGTTGATGTAAGATTCTCAGATCATACCTGTTTGTTTCTCCTAAAGTCTTTCGTGATCGGGCATGAAGTTATTCTGAGAAGAAGGAGCAAAACTGATGGAAGCTCTCTCCCTCCTCTAATGAACGAGAGGAGGCTTTTAGCCTTTCCATCCTTAGAAAATGTTGAGCATGCCATGATTAGAGTAGACTGGCTTGTTCTTACTTCCTCTGGGGTTAGTGTATATGTATAGTCAAACACCTCTTATGTCTAGGGCAGTGGTCAGCAAAGTCATTAGTTAACAGAGCCAAATATCAACAGTACAAAGATTGAAATTTCTTTTGAGAGGCAAATTTTTTAAACTTAAACTTCTTCTAACGCCACTTCTTCAAAATAGACTCGCCGAGGCCATGGTATTTTGTGGAAGAGCCACACTCAAGGGGCCAAAGAGCCACATGTGGCTCTCTAGTCGCAGTTTGCCGACCACAGTTATAGGGAATTGGCTATTCAGATGATTTTCTGCTTTGCAATCAAAAAGGGAAATTCTCTTTAAAGGGAACCAGCATTAAATATTCATCAAGGGCAGAAATGATTTGGAAAACCTGAGTATTAAAATACCAGAATCTTGCCCACGATCCCCAAATGCATCAATGCTATCTAATTTGAATGGAGCAGGATTCCTATTGAGATTCAGTCTCAAAGACAGGAAAGGTTACTAAGCTCATGATGTCACCCTAAGGCAAACAGTATCACCTGCTGTGGAATGTCCGACTATGCCATCTCTCACAGACAGTAGGGTGTAACAGAGTTGTGTGGTAACAGCTCGATTTTTAGTAGAAGCCACATTAGCATTAAGGATGTTATAAAGTTACACAGAGGTCAGTGGGGAAAGTTCAGAAGAGCTGAATGCCATACACAAGTAGAAAGGTTAGAAATGATAGAGCACTTAGTTCCCTCCGGGAGGTACTGTCTCTTTTGATGGATGCATTTCAGCAAAAATGTATGGAATGTCTGTCCCTGGGGGTGAGTTAAAAGATAAAAATTTAGATCATGCAGGAAAACAGCTATTACCAAGAGCTCTCCAAATTCAAGGTCATACCTGCCTTAAGAGCATAGAGGAGGCAACAATTACTTCTAGTAGGAAAGTCATGCATGTATCCTAAAAGAGGGAATATTTGGTTCCAGACAAAAATATTAACACTGCTAACACTAAAAGCAGTCTACAGATGCATACCTTGGGCTATGAAAACTCAGCCTGGGAAACGCCACAGTGCTTTAAGGCAGGCTGGTTCAAAAGCCTGGAGTGGTGCCTCAGGGCTTCCCTACATTTCAGGCCTGTGTTAGAATCTTTTTTTTTTTTTTTTTTTTTTTTTTTTTAATGCCAATTTATATTTTGAGACACTTGGGGCACAAGCAGAGAATAAGCATTCCAAAGCGATGGCTGTGTTAGGGCAGACTTTCTGCTAAGGTGGAAAATGCAGGCTGGGCAGCTGTGCCCCGTCAGGCAGATGTGGGTGTTTGGGAATTCTGGCAGTTAGAGTGCCTGCCCTCTGTTAGTTTCAGCTCGCATGTATTGGATTTGGGGGAAGGCATCTCAGAGTGGGGGGAAAAAAAAGATAAGAAAAAAAAAAAGAGACTTTTAAGTGTTCCACAAACATGATTTTAGTTCATCTGAAAAAAAAAAAAAATAGAGGGGGGGGAATGAAAAAAAAATCCCTCACATCTCATATTGCCCTGCTTTTGACAATTACCCCAGCAACTTCAAATAGAAACCAAGACAAAAATAGAATCACCTCCTCTCATTCTTAGCTATTAATACATAATAATCTCTAAGGAAGAGGAAAAAATAATATTCTGCCTCCCCTGAGATATTGCCCCCAGGCCTGCCCTTCTCTCTTGCAAAGAACAATCCAGTTATTTTGATAAAAGCTGTCAACAAAACAGTGAAACCAAATGTATACCCTAATATTTATTGAGAACCTACTATGTGCCAGGTACTGTGCTGAAAGCTGTCAACATTAAGCATTATTATCTCACTCAATCCTTATAGCCACTTTTCATGACTACAGTTGACCCTTGAACAATGCCCCACTTTCTGTGCTATCAAAAATCAGAATATAATGACAGCATGTTGATCTCCATTTTACCAAGGAAGAAATGGAGGTACACACTGCTTAAGTAACTTGCATGAGACACAAGTGCAAATGGCAGAGATGAAATTAAAGTTCAGGTCTACCTGATTCCAGAGTGAATGTGAAATATTATGCACAGAACCTAACTTCCTGTTCATATGCTATTTTAACATTTTTTCTTTGAGAATTACACACACACACACACACACACACACACACACACACATACACACAAATAGAAAGATCTAAGAAAACAAACAAAAATAAAAGCTACTCATTCTAAACTGATTGAGTCTTTATAAATGAAGTCCTTTATCTTAATGTGTTCCCTTTTGAACCACAGTCTCCTATAGAGTTGAATTTATAGAAACCTTTTACATTCCATAGCTCATTTTATCCCCCTAAGTACTCTGGGAAGTGAAGAAGCTATTGCTAGTACCATCAGAAGCTGGGAAAGCTGAGAAACAGAATAGGTGACTCTAGGAACAAAATTTCAAAGATAAGTCTAGATTCAGATGTACTGACTCCCAGATCCCCGCTCCTCCCACCTGACCAGATTGTCTCTCACTATGAAGCACAATTGAGAAGCCACGCATTTGTCTACCTACCTCTTATCCTAAGTGCCTGGAGCAGAATGGAGGCTCAATAAACACTGAGTGAGTGAGTGAGTGAGTGAGTGAGTGAGTGAGTGAGTGAGTGAATGAGTGAGCAAGCAAGGGAGTGACTGGACCAATCTACTAACCACCCAATCTTATGTGGCATATCTACTCTTATCTTAAAGATGGGAAACATCCCAAAGGGCCAGGTGACTCTCAGTCTCATCAGTAGTTGCTGGCTGAGTAAGAGCACAACCCAGCCTTCCTGACTCCCTGGTCCATGTTCACTGCTTCTGGTCTCCCAAACTGGGGTCAACTTTTGCCCCATCAGTTTAGTTCTGTGAATTATTCTAGTGTTGAAACATCTAGTACCAAACAGAGTCAATGTGAAATTATATTTGCAGAGCTCCATACAAAATAAATCGTATAATAACATATATATAAAAAAAAAAAAGTATAAACAGATAAGAACTGGCCAAACTGAAATCACTAACCTATTTCCCACCCACGGGCCCCAAAAGAATGGAACCAAGATCTGATGCACAGCCTTGAGTTGATGCTCTGAGATGCCTCTTTGGCTCACCAGAACTTGTATTGTCACATCCATATGTCAGAATAAGCCATCTGCTTTTTAAAATTTCTTAACATACACAATGGCTAACATTTGCAGGAAAAAGCACAGAAATCATTCAAATACAGGCTAGTGTAGATGAATGTCCCTTCACAATACATTTAAGAAAGAGATTTTGAAGTGTCTTCTGGGGTCTGGAATCCTGCTGCTCAATGTGTCCTCACACCAGCAGCATCAGCACAGGCGAGCTTGTTAGAAATGTAAAAATCTCAGGCTTTCCCCAGTCCTACTGAACCAGGATCCACATTTTAACAAGGTATTTCCTAAACAGGGGACTCACATGCACATGTAAGTGTGAGAAGTAGTGGTCTAGAAGCTTCTGATGCTAGTGGGTAGTAATGTTATTTTTAGATTGCCTAGATATCCTGCTCTAGATGCATCTTCTGAAGGTATTTATTTTATAAACACTTTGGTAATGCTAAATATAGACCAGGCAGGATGTTATCACATGCCACATATTAACTCATTCAATTCCCACAACAACTCAATGACGTACTAACTATTATTACATATGGACAGATGAGAGAACTAAGGCACAGAGCAATTAAGACACTTGCCTGAGGTTTCACAGCTAAGAAGTGAAATCAGCAGGATTCCAGGGCAGAGTCTGGCTCTAGAATCTGTGCTGATCATGACTCCTGAAGTCCCCCTGTGCTGTCACTCTCCAGACTGTGTCCTGATTTTACAACTGAAGCCTATCTAGTAACTATATTTAAAAGCAAGGCAGGCTTCGGAGTCTGGCAGTTAGCTGGACCCATTCTCTGAAATGGGCAATTATAAAAGCTCACAAAAATCACTGTTAGTGTTTTATTTAATTTTGGGGAACACTATTAGAATTGAATTATTAAAATACTATTTTTTAAAAAAATTCTCTGTTGACCTTCACTAACATCTCTCTTATTTAAAATAAGTCAGTAGAAAATAAACAGGGCTATGAGAGATGGCTTATTTTAGATTATATTCTAGGAGACACAGGAGCTTTCCATGGAAAAAAAAGCACAATTCATTTAAACTGTAAGCAATGCCATTTTGTACTTATTAACAGTTACCCGGTGGAACGGAAGGTCTTTACTTCCATTGAGAGCTATAATAAAGAACTGCAAGAAAGCTCATGAATGAATGATTTTCTCATACTGCATTACTGTGCAGAATGGAGTTTCAGAATAATTTGGATGTCACCTGAAATAAGAAATAGATTTACTTTAGATTATTCTGAAATTCTTATTTTATGAGAATGGCTTTTATTTCTCATCTGCCAATCCCTTTCTAAATCTCACAGAAGAGTGAATTTCCTTCTGAGCTGTGTTTCTCATCCTCTGTGAAGCAACCTTTTCCTTTGGTAAACCTAAAAATCTTGCCCCTAAGGTTCTTATGCATCTTCTCCTCTACCCCACCCAATTCACTGATGGAGACTTTCTGATACATCAGGCCAGAGAAGATTTAGTCTAGAAGATTTTGTAAAATTGGCTTTCTGTGGTGGGTGTTATGAAAACTGCAGGTATTTTTATTTCCCAATATAAAATCCCAGTATAGTATTAAGTAAGTGTATTCCAATTTTGTGCCAAGCCCTACCCACTGAGCTATAATCCCCTCTTCTACCCTGAGAATCCCTGGTAGAGCAAGTCCATAGGTAACCCATTCCTCTGAGTCCCTCCTGAGCCCCTAATACTCTTGCCATATTTCCTCCTTCTTTTTCTTGGGACCTTCTTCATTTCCCATTTCTAATAGAGCTAATTATCCCCTTTACTGATTTATCTTTCTCTCTTTTCTCTCTAACTCTTTTTCAACTTTGCTACCATTATTGGAATATAGAGTAAAGATGCTGGTATCAGGACTTTGGTTATGTTGGATGAACAAGGAGGTAAGTTGAGATTTCTTCAGTAAGAACAATTTCTCGTCTGAATAAAGTGCATTAAAAAAAATTGTGCAGACACAGGTGGTCATTTTCACACATATGAAACACATAGATGAGTGTGAAGATTCTAGCGTTTTCATCATCTTGCCTTTCTTTACTGTTGAAAAGACTGTAAAGGTAAATGTATGGAAATATTGAGGCCTTCATGATTAAATGAATAGCACTATTCTCCCAGTTATACATGATTTTTAAAAGCAAAAATTATTTGTGTGGTTGAAATTTTAAATGATAGCATTTTGGATAATGTGAGAATTTTCTTAACCCCCTTATTCCCAATCTTTCTGATAAGTTTGATTTTCTTCTATATATATATATCACTGTCCATTTCCTTTGACCATCCTAATTCAGTAGCTGGCAGTTTTGATTTCCAAATCATTATGGGGATGCTTTAAATAACTGGGAGGATCATAGGAGAATGGAAAGTTGAACAAATTGAAATATTAGATCTGTTTTTAAAATTATGGGGATTCTAGAAACAATGGAAATCAGAGGGCCAACATTTTAGTATAGCATCTCTAAGGTGGAATGAAGAAAGATAATACCAAATTTTTTCTTTGTCTCAATATGAGTATTCATACCGTGATGATTTGTTTCATTTTAGCCACAAGTTAGTTATCTGATTTCATTCTGAATTCTTATAATAAACAATTTTAAGAAATTTTTTTATCTTTATTCATATTTTAAGAAAGCATTAAAAAATTCTTCAGAATCACAAAAATGTTTTATAGTGTCAAAGATAAAAATATAAAGCTCACAATAATTTATTCACAAGTGTGTTTATAAAGATCATAAATAAACTTGTAAGTTGTTAAGAATATTTTTACATTTTTATCTTTGTTTATTGGGGTACCATAAACAAACTCGAAGCATAAAGCTCAAGCTGGGAAAAACTTTGCCATGCTGGTAAAAGACATAAAGCATTTTTCTAAAATCAGAGAGCATTTGCATATCATCAGTGAAAAGAACAAAAACTAAAATAAAAATAGATGTAAATTATAAACCATCAATTTACAAATAGACATATGAAACCATGCTTCATGCAATAGCAACAATGAGGTACCATTCTGTAGCAGACTGACACAAATATTTAAAATTTATAATAACCAATCCTATGAATATATTGAAAAACAGAAACTCTCATTCTACAGATGGGCACTACAGACTAATAAATGTTTGAAGAGTAATTTTTAAAAAAATGTATTGTATTGATTTGCTTCAGAGAGCAAGGGAGAGAGAAAGAGAGCTAGAAATATTGACAAGAGAGAAACATAGATCAGCTGCCTCCTGCACACCTCCCACTGGGAATGTGCCTACAATGAAGGTTCATGCCCTTGACCGGAATCCAACCTGGGACCCCCCCAGTCCACAGGCTGATGCTCTCTCCACTGAGCCAAACCAGCCAAGGCTTGAAGAATAATTTGATATCTTCAAATTTTGAAGTGCACCCATTTTTCACCAAAGCATTCCACTCAGCATTGTACACTACAGATGTATATTGACAATTATATAAAGAAAAATGTATCCCTGACTGTTTTGGCTCAGTGAATAGAGCGGCAGCTTGCGGACTGAAGGGCCCCAGGTTCAATTCCAGTCAAAGGCATGTACTTGGTGGAGGACACATCTCCAGTAGGGGGTGTGCATGAGGCAGCTGATCGATGTTTCTCTCATCGATGTTTCTAACTCTCTATCCCTTTCCTTTCCTCTCTGTAAAAAATCAATAAAATATATTAAAAAAAAAACAAAAAAAACAGAAGAAAATGTACATGCCTTAACCTGTCATCATATAAAACTGGACACAGCCCAACTCTCTGTCAGTAGGGAGACCAACTAAATGAATTATGGTATGGCCATAAAAATATATAATCTGCAATCATTAATTACAGGGCAGGTGGGAGGGGGGCAGGCAGGGACTGAGAAAAAGCTTATCTTTGGGGTCCTCTGGAAAGCTGGATCAAGGAAAGAGGGAGGAAGAGTAGGCAGGGAGAGCCTTCTGACTATGATGTGGATCTGACATGAGAGAAGAGAAGGGAAGAATCAGGATTGGGTAGGAAGGGTCTCAAAAGCAGGTCTGCTCTGAGAACATCTCAGCCAGGTGGGGAAGCCCAGCAGCAAAGATTACCCAGAGAACAGCCTCGTGTTGGGCAGGAATGTCTCAGCTCTAGTAGACCCATTGTGCTCAGCCATTGGCAAGAAGCATCTGGGAAGAGCATGGCTTCCATGTAAATGCTGTGGCAGATTCCATAGGTGCAGCAGCTGGAGGTGTCAGCTAATTATACTCCTCCTGGCAGGGTTTCTCTTGAAGGCACATCTGAGGGGCATACCCTCATGGCTGTCATGTAAGGACTTATGTTCTATGTTATTTACTTGATTCAAGTGTTTCAATAAATATGCACCAATCAATCCATAAAAATCAAGAAAAAATTTTTTGAAAATCCACCCCAATGCTTCCCCCCGCAAATTTGAATATATTGTACAAATTATCAAAATATACATATGCAAATAAAGGAGTCTAATGGAATTGTATTTTGAGGAAATTGTAATGGTTGTGGCAGTCTTCAGAACTCACCCAATGAATTTGCTATAATTGTAATTTACTGGCTTGATCTCTAACAGTGGTACAGACTGAAACTCGAGATGCATCAAAACACTGTTGTTTGTTTTTAAATTAAGCATCAGATGCCCATATAGAAGAATGGTACCTCATTTCCAGAGCTAAGGTGATACATATACATTCAAGTAATTAGCAGTTCTACCTTATTAACTCTATAATTAACATTTTGTATGTGAGGGGATGGGAAAGGGAGCATTACAATAGGAGGAAAGGTTAGGCAAAAGTGTAGGAAAATTTCTCTTATCCCCCCTAACTATAAAGCACTAACATAAAAAACATAGAAGATAATATATACAAATCTGGTATCAACAAGGGAGAAAGGTAATAGCATGCTTACTTGAGTTGCGAAGTTTGATTGTACTTTGATGAAAAAAATATAGAGAAAAACGTTGCTGGAATTGTCATACAAATGCAAAAATATATTATTCTTAGCAAATGATTCCCAGAAACATCTAAATATTATTCTCTAAGAAGTAACATAGAATAGAAGATTTTCCCCATGAGATAGTTAATGTTCTCAGCTAAAACATTTTAAATGTGGCTACACCATAGTAACGGCTGAATTCCTCAGTTAAATGTACTTCACACATTCCATTTATACTATCATAGGAAATGAGCACCTTTTAAAATGACAAATGAGCATAAGTCAACAACTATCTTCACTGCCATCATAAATGCATTTTCATTCTGCATATGCTGTGTTTAGTTGCTTAGATCAGTAACTGCTTTAAAATTTCTCTCCAGTGATGCTCTAGTACTTCTGTCTGTGCTGAACACCAAAGGTGTTGGCCATTTCAACTCTGCAGGTGCACAGGAGTCTCTGGAAACAGCCATCCTTCTGAAGTACCGTTCCAGGTTGTCCAGCTAAATGGTTGCATTCAGAAATTCCTTACTGGATTCTTGTTTTATACCCAGGTCTCAGGAGACACCAAGGAGCATGACAGACGGCCCTGGAAATGTACTGAGTCCTGGGACTTTTCTTTTCTCCAAGAGAAATTCCCATGGAACAACCTTAACACTAATGTGGGATGACTTAACCTTTCACTTCCTTATCTCTTGTTCCTTTTGTTGGTCTTTGCTGGGTTGTATGTTTGTTTCAATGCTGAAGCTGCAGCTCTTGGGGAAATCCCATGGAGTCAACTCTGAACAGTAAAATTACTAACCCCTTGCCTGGAAGAGTAAAGGCAAAGTCAAGCCTCGTTCAGAGCACTTGCTGACTTTCTGCAAAGGTGCATGACACGACCAGGTAGCATTTGTGAGAACATTCCTCTTTCTAAAGTCCACTCACAAATATGTAATGAATGACTAAAGCTGCAGCTGTCCAATGTTGCAGCCATATGTGGGTATTTAAAATTTTTTTTTAATGGTTTCCAAATGCTCATCAATGCAAAATGAAAATCATACAGGCAGCATCTGTCTTCTAACTGGATATACTCACGAAGGCTTGTATACTGGCTAATAGCATTGATAGTTTGCTGTTCTTCTACTATTTTTTTTTATCAGGTTTAGAATTCTAAAGGCCCCATGATGCCTTACTTAAGTAAGATGAGTAGAACAGATGCCTAAACTTGGATCCCTGCATATCCTGCCATCAGTGGATCTATTACAAATAACCTGTCATCCAAACATGACAGAAGAAAGTTCAAGTTCTTGCCCCAATAGGTGTTATCTAGATAGTGTTATCTCCTGGAATACCTCTTCTGACCCAAAATGTTACTCTCCTCCCCAGCTCCAAGAATAAAGAGCAACAAGCCAGAAAGCAAACTTAGGGAGGGAAGGAGCAATCAGCCCTGGACAATGCATTGCACCAGCCTCTGAGATGCTGCTGTGCCCCTCAGAATGGAATGAAGATATCGGTTATTTTCAAGCATTTCCCGAGAAATGCCTTCATAGAAAGTATCAGTGTGTTATGAAGTCATCATATGCCTAACATATCCACAAATATAATTCGGTACACCCTAAAAACTAATATTAAAATTATCTGTGAGAAAATGGTTCCACAATATTTTTTAAATTAAGCGTTTGACTTAACAAGTATATAGAGATATACTTAACTCACATATCTAAGTTTTCTAAATCAACTTTTCTAAAAGCGCTTCAGAATTCTCTCTTAGCTATGACCTTGCTGAGCAAGCCAGCAGCCATGGCAGAACCCAGCTCTCAGAATATGGATTTGGACTCACTTGGTTTTATCTTTTCATTGGAATTATTTACTTCAAAAGCCCAATGCTGGTGGACCGATTTTTCTGTTATCTCCCAACCCCTGAAGGCACAGTGAGTGGGGCTCCTGAAATAGAGTCAGAGAGTTAATATTTTGATCAAGAGCAAATACAAATCTGTATGAACATCAGCTGTCATTGAGTCCAATAGGCTTTTTTCCCTCTGAGCCCAGACTCTCCAATCGCATCTCAACCCAGGATACCAGGAAGCCATTGGGATTTGGTCCCCCCTATTTTTGTCTGAACTTAACATGGCTTTTCCTTTGATGATGTTGATTGGTTCCCCCTCAACAATCTCTTCATTTGTTAGTTAATTTGATCAACAAACTAATTTATTGCATTGTTAAAGGGAAATTGAAATGAAGTCTTTTAAAAAGTACAAAATCTTCTGGGATGTAAAGAATTGCTTTTACTATATATATATATATATATATATATATATATATATATATATATATATATACATACATATTTTGGGGGGAGGGGGGATTTTTTTCAGAATTTTCTTAAAGACCTTCTTACTATTATATCTGTATTTATTCAGCAAAAGGTCACTAGTACTACACTGTTATTCTTCCAGCTACTCAATGCTAGAGAACATTGAGATTTTGTTTTTATTGGTCATGTGAAAAGCATAGCAGAAACAGCACATTCCTAATAATCTGAATTTTGTTCTTCAACCTCACAAAAGAGAAAACAACAGGCTTTTATTTTCCAAATGGACAGTCTCCCCAGTTTGGGTCACTAATGAACCTTTGTTTTTCAGAATGTTAATCCCACTGTACCATTTAATGTGAAATTGTTTTTTAGGGAGTATTTATACCCATAGACCAGAAGTGTATTTATCAGTTTAATTCTAATCCTGCCCTTATTCCAGGAAGCATAGGCATGCATGCACGCAAGTATAGATGAAAAGAGGAAAGGACAGATAATTAGGTTTTATAATTGGACAACCAATTGCTGCCTTCCTGTAATGGTCTTAAAAGCTGTTTTAAAAATCCTTTCATTGAATTTGTAGTTGACTCAATTTGGAGACATAATTTTTGAAAAATTAATCAAGTTTGTGTATGTAACTCTGGCAACCTAGAAGTACAATTCACTTCCATGGCTATTGATCTATGTCTCATACACCAAGGTCAGCTTTGCTGGCAGCGATGACTCAGTACTGTTCTGTGTTCCCATCCATCACTCCTCTAAAGACTCATGCACTCATTTTCCCTGCTTTCTGCTGGAAATTGGGATCTATCATGTCCCCCATGGTAGAGAATGGGAGTTCAAGGGGCAGAGATGTGAAATGCCTTTCAAAGCCTCAATAACAAGTAAGTCATAGGATGAGAGGATGAATTGATATGTCCCAGGACTTGTAACATTGTGTGCTGATGGTGCCTGTTTTTACATCTTCAGTGAATTGCTATGAATTAAGTCCAGTACTCAAAACTGAGAGCTGCCCATGTGCTGCCTTTGGCTAGATGACCACACCTGGGGGGGGGGGGGGAGATAGAGGAGAGAGGGAAGAAGAAGATCTGGAAACCATTGTTAATTATCACTTTAGTTGATAAAAAAGAAAAAGATGAATAGGTAGATTCTACCTCTTACCCTTACTTGGTTGAGGATGCTTAAAACTAAGATAGAGACATTTTTAAGGTTGAAGCAAATACTTTGTTTAGTAGCATTAAATCTGAATGCCTAACATAAATTAACACCGTTTTTCATTCTCTTGGATTTCACTGGCATCTGAGTAGGTGAATCACTGTGGGGGTTTTTCCTGGATATTCAGAATCAAAAAGGCCTAAGCTATCCCATCTTGTCATGTCTGAATTGCAAACTATTTTGAGCATTCTTTTTGTTCGTTTCCTTCCACCCATGCCTGTATAGGGCAGCCCGAAGCAGTCTACAGCAATGCATCCTCTCAGACAATGCATTGTAATATCTTTCTCTTCCAAATTCTGTTTCACGTAGTCATTTCTCATGTTGTGTTGGAAACCCCCCAAAAAATTCATTCCACACTGTCATCCCTTTGTCCTAACCAGAACAACTCGATCGTGTCGAAGAAGGCATGAACCATATCAACCAAGACATGAAGGAGGCCGAGAAAAATTTAAAAGATTTAGGGAAATGCTGTGGCCTTTTCATATGTCCTTGTAACAAGTAGGTACTGGGTACCAGCTCTAATCTGTGGCGTCCAGTTTTCTTTCTTTCTTTCTTTCTTTTTCTTTTTTTAATGTCAAAGTGAGTGTCTGAAGTTTTGTCTTTTTTTTCTTTGTCCTTTTCCATCTGCTTCATTCTGTGGGGATAAAATACTTGTATTTAATCAGAACAACTGGAACGCATTGAGGAAGGGATGGACCAAATCAATAAGGACATGAAAGAAGCAGAAAAGAATTTGACGGACCTAGGAAAATTCTGCGGGCTTTGTGTGTGTCCCTGTAACAAGTAGGTGCTGCCTGCCTGCCTGAAGCTTTGGTTTCCCAAGGCCCATCTCCAAGCCTTGACAAGCTCATTCCCGCCAGGCACTAAGGCAGGATGAGCATGTGGCATGCAGAACAGATCAATACCGTCTCCGATGCATTCATCTCATAGCCTAGATGATATTAGTGGGAGTTACTGTCTATGCATTAAAAATCAGGCATACTACAGTGAAAGCTTCACTGTCAGCAACTTTTATAGACAAACGTTTCAACATTTTCCAGAAAGTGTACTTTGACACAGAGGCTAGCCTCAAGAAAGAGACACCCAATGAACTTTCTTTTCTCATGACCCCAAAAGCCAAAATTGCAGATTTAGAATAGACTGGGGGTAAATTTGAAAGAGGAGAAGCACATATATCAAGGGTTGATATTTCAGAAGCAAGACTCAGGTAATTTGGCCCAAGTAAGCATTCTATAAATTAGTCTATGACAATGATAACCCCTTTCAACTGCCTACTAGTTGCCAAACATAATCAGCGATTAGACAAGAGATGCCACTGTTATTCTCAAAACAGAGGCCAGGAGTCCTTCAGCAAGAAGTACTCAAGCCTCACCCAAATTGGACCCATCCCTCCCAAATTCCTCCTCTTGGAAGATCTACCTGTACACCGTCTGAAATGTTGAAATGTGTAGATTTTGCATGCACAACATCACAAAACATTCAACTGTTCTCAAGGTTCTGCAACGCTTTTTTTTTTTTTTTTGGAATGTAGCAGAAATGTGACATGTGGTTATAAAGGTTTGCAACAGAAGGAACCTGAAAATGAGGGTTCTGGAAGATAGTTTCATTTGACTAGCAGTGGAAAAAAATGCATGAGTGGTTGTCCAACATGCATTTGGAAAATTAAACCCATTACCTGATCTCCCTCACATCTCCCATTTCCCTTTGAACAGAAACCTTTTTTCCTAAAAACTCTCCTGGTCCTAACTTTTAGAATAGAAATCAATGTCATTTATAGCTGATTATATGACCATTCACATCCTTTAAACTTTGAGGCTGATTTAAAATATCCCACTTCCTGTTTAGGAGGGGGAGGGGCTCAATTTACAAATAAATTCAAAACTTTTTTTAAAAAAGAGAATGATTTACAGTAAAGCCTGATTAACTGGAATCTAGCTAACTGGAACCCTCAAATGTATTTATAGATTTGCTCCCTTTCATTACTGTCAAAAAGAGACAAATGAACCAATTCCAGGGAGGAGGAGAGAGAAATCACATCAGGGATTGAAAATGGACAATCTAGGTAGTTTGGATTCTCACACTCAGTCTCCATTCTATAACCTCCAATCGAAGAAGACCAAACAATGAGTTGATTGATCTTCTGCGTAAAGGCCATCAGACACATCAAGAGAAAGTGTAATTAATAAAAGATTCAATCGCGTTCACTACCCTAAGACAAAAATAGGAAAGTGGCTCAAGAATCTAACTGATAATCAGCAATCACCCCTGAAACAAAATTTTCCTCATGGCCACTATTAATGAAGAAAGTTATATAATTCACCAAAATGACTCATTTCAAAGCATTCCAGTTAGTCAAGATTTAACTGTATAGCCATAAGTGGCCACTTGCCACGGGTGAGATTTACACCTGTTTTGTGATAATTCCAAAAGATACATTCTTCCCATTTATCAACTGTGTGTGGAGAAAGGGTGGAGGCAGGCCCCCACCCCCAGGATGTATTCTAATGTTGAATGAGATGATGGCCCCTGTGAATTTCCACATATTAGTTGGCACCAATTCCTTATTGCACAAGAGACCCTCACTGAGCTTCAAAGCTTGACCGAAGTGTTCCCTATTGTGTGTAAATAATGCTGTAAAAACCATGTGTCACAATGCAGTGTCTGGTGGTGCCCTGGACTCTCTGGGGGCTTCGCCCTGTCTCGGCATGTTTCCAAGGATTATGATAGATGTACGGCAGTTATGTGAGTCTATGTGCAGCATTGTGAGTGCAGTGATTTGCCTTCTTTCAGAAACGCAAACTTTTCCTACCCTCTTGACTTTGCCAAAGATGGTATACCAGACATTTACATAGCAGAAAACATCACCAGGTCCATGTAATTTCTTTTAATGTGAGGAGGGAGGGGACAGGGAGTTGGGGACAAAAAACAAAATCAGATGCTAAGCTCCATTAAACTAGTGTTTGCATCCTGTCCCACTGAGTGGGCCCACGGGTCTTTAGTGCAGTAAAATTTGACTGCTCTAAGGGCTCTACGCTAGATTGTGGGAGCTACTGAGGCACCATTTGTAGAGTTTTCTAATTTGTCTTCAGGGTTGTTTGATCCCCAATCTGCGAGTATTAATATAAGAGCCACAGATGGCTGAGGTTCTCTGAACTAAAAATGGGGGTTGGAGGATTAGAAATCTTTAATAGAAATTGTGAAAAATGGGACCAAAGGAAGTTCTTTTGTTTTTGGACTAAAAAGTGTATGGTTTCTACTATGCAAAGAACCTAAAAACATCTTTGATTGCCTTAAATAACAACCCACCCACCAAAATATGCTGCACATGTTCCTATTGGGCACAACAGGTATGCCTGGATTTTAAGTTTCTCTCCAAGGCAGCTCAGTGAAATATGGCCCGTGGAGGCCACTCTAGTTCCAGACCACTTCCCCTGCCACATCCCAGGATAGTTGGAGGTAGGAGTTTGTACTCACTCCCACCCTGCCCTTGGGCCCGACAAAGAAGCTATTGAAACTGCGTTTCAAATCCTCATGAAGGCTATTACTGTCCTGCTAGTGCCTTTTTTGAGAATGATCAACTTCTGGAGTAGTTTGGCTTAAATGAGAATGCTTCACTTTCTACTCATGCCTGTAGCTGGTGCATGAAGAAGATGTAGAGGGATTACCCTTTTTGGTGCTAGATGGCTTGTTCTCTCTTCTATTTTCCTGCATTCATTTCACTACGCCTCTTTTACTTTTTGTCTCTGTGGACAAAGGTTTGTACATCAACTCTGGATGTATGGTGACTGTTTGGAAGTACCGATATATTATCTAATTCAGATCATGCTAGAGGCAACTCAGAGACCGTCACCCTTGGCCAACCACCAATCCTTTATGTCCTTCATGCAGAGTTGGAATGGTTAGTTCCACACTTGTGTTGGAGGTGGGGGGAGAAATTAAAGGGAATTCTGCATGATAGTGTATAAAAACTTGGTTGAATATGTTTATCTTGATGACAGTGTGTTGCTGTGGTGTGATGTACACACTCTACTTGGCAGTCTTGTTTTGTGTCTGTCTGCCAATATGTTTTCCTGTGTGTTTTGTGTCTCAAAATATAACCATGTCACTGAAATAGAACTGAATGTCCTCCAGCTACCTTAATCCTTGTCTTAAATCCAAACTACAAAAACATGCCAAAACAAGAACAAATTGTGGGCAAAGGTTAGTCTTGACAATTGCAATTGACTCAATTGGACATGAAATGCTGCGTAGCTGAGGCATGGTGGTGGCCAACTGTTTGGGTCCTTATTATGATATATCGGTATTCTCTAATGCCTCAACTTAAAACTCATTCGCTTGGTTCAGTTCTTGGCTTGAAGAGATAACCATTGCTGTGAGCTTGACTCTCCACCATCTTGCCTTGTCACTCACCCTCTTTTTTGCATAGGCTTAAGTCAAGTGATGCTTACAAAAAAGCCTGGGGCAACAATCAGGATGGAGTGGTGGCCAGCCAGCCTGCTCGTGTGGTGGACGAACGGGAGCAGATGGCCATCAGCGGTGGCTTCATCCGCAGGTGAGCCTTGCACAGCCAACACTGTAACAGTTGTCTATTTATGAGTGACAAACAACCCCAACCTGAGTGGTTCTTTAAACAACACCCATTTTATTACTTATGAATCTGTATGTTGGTTGGGTAGTGCTTCTGAGAGCCTAGACTCGTTTATTATAGGCAACTGGGTGTAGAATGATGCAAAATGGCCCACTTGTTTGTTGGGGCTGTCAACATCTGCTAGGGTTGGCGGAGGATGTCAGCAGAGCACCTCTGTTCTCATATCACCTCTCCAGCAGAACAGCTCAGGCATCTTACATGGTGGTGAAAGCATTCCAAGGGGCAGGAACCAATCCACAAGCACTTATCAAGACTTTGCTTGTGTCATATTTGCCAAAGTCTCACCAGACAGAGCAAGTCACATGACCACATGAGCAGCAAACAGGCACCTCATTACATGGGTTTAATTGAACAGAGCTTATTAAAGAAGTTGGTTACAGAGGTGTGGACAAAGTTGATGACAAGCAATGGTAAAGCACTTGTGAATTAGCAATAATAGGAAGAGTCCTGAAGAGACAGAAGGTATCTGTTATCAGAACCCAAGAAGAATGATAGCTGTGGGTACAGAAATGCAGTCACTGCCAAATCTACCAGGAAATGAGAAAGTCAATAGATGTGCCAGCACCTCCCTCCTCTTGCCCTCCAGTTGCTCACTGGACATTTGCAAAGCCCTCTGGAAGTCAGAAGGTAAGAAAACCTGAGTGATGTGGTTGTAGAAAAGTCAGCCTCTTGGGGCAGAGAGAAATGGTCATAGAACAGGTCTGGGCAAAGAGACAATAATGAGCATACCTGGCTTCTTATTAATCATTTCTTTTGAGATCTGGAAACCAAAGCCAGCTTAAATATTGATTTTTAAAAACCTTAAATTAGCCCTTGCTGGTTTGGCTCAGTGGATAGAACACTGGCCTGTGGACTGAGGATCCTGGGTACAATTCCAGTCAAGGGCACATGCCTGGGTTGTGCACTCATCCCCAGTAGGGGGCTTGCAGGAGGCAGCCAATCAATGATTCTCTCTCATCATTGATGTTTCTATCTCTTCCTTTTCCTTTCTATCTGAAATCAACAAAAATATATATATATATTTTAAAAATCTTAAATTACACAGATCTACCAATTCAGAAATCAGCTTTCAGGAGACCAGAAAACAAATATAGTAACAAATATTCCTGTTGTTAAATAGAAAAAAACAAAATGATCTCTTTTTATATGCTAATATACCAGGACTCAGCAGCAACTATGATAGCTGCTTGTACAGTTATCTTTACCCAGGCCACAATGTTGCCCACCAGTAACCCAGGTTCAAGAGATAGTTCACTCTCAGCTATAAGGTCTAGATATCTACCTCAAGCCTCACAGGTGGCAATTCTATTCCTGTTTCTACCTGCTCCCAGAGAAACTAGATGGAGACCTCAGTCCTGGCTGCATATTAGAATGACTGGGGGAGATTTTTTTTTAAATACAAGTGCCTGGACCTAATCTACACCAATTGAATCAGAAGCTCTAGAAATGGGACTCAGGTATCTATAAGTTTTTAAACTCCTCAGGTGGTTCCAATGCCCAATCGGGGCCGAGAACTACTGAACAGAAAGTATGCCTTAGCTGTTGATGATCATTTAAATAAGTTTCTCTTCTAAAAGAAGCTGAAAGTTTCCCCTTTCGTTTTCTCTGGACAAGGTTGTTTTCAAATGCTTAACAGAGTACAATGGGGGGGGGGGGGGGGGGGGAAGGATTTTAAGCCCTCTGATCATTTTTTGCCCATCACCATCTGTACGGGAAAATGTTATTTAGTCAGAACATTCTGGAGTACCTACCATTTGCAATAAAGAGTTACTGTTTCACTGCTTTTCACTTTCAAGCTGAGCTATAGAAAGAAAGATGGTAAGGCACTTAGAGAACCTACTCCTTTCTCCCCACTCAAACTGGAACAAAACCTCTTAGCACAGTTTTTTGTTGTTGATTTTTTCGTTTGAAATCATCCATTCACAATGCCACCAAAAATGCCATAGCATTGAAATCTGAGCAAATAAAAGTCATCTTGAACAAGTAGCTCCCTGTGGAGCCCTTGGGAGCAAGTGGGATTAAGGGGTAGATTGAAATGAACATTACTCTTCCCATTGATGTTGTTCCCAAATGGGAAAGAAGTTGAGCAGAGAAATTCACTGACTTCACACAATGAGCTTTTCTCTCATTTAGAATTTTACTCTTGGAGATTTAGGTTGACATTTCAGAAAGAAAAATATGGTTTCTAACTAGTTCCATCTTCATTCTCTGACCAAGAAACATCACAACTAAAAATAATTTTCTTTTTTAAACATGAAAATTTGGATACACATTTGAAGGGAGAAAATAATGTGTTGGTGGAAATGAAAGAGGTAGCTAAAGTAATCTATTTAATAATAGAAATTCTTTAAAAATGGGAATTCAAGGGTTTAAATGCACTTAAAATTATTTTCAAATACAATAAAATAAAATAAATAAAAATTATTTTCTAGTGTATAAAAGCTAAATATTGTTATCATATTGAATGGAGATTTTAAATAGGTAAGATTGATACCTAGAAGTCTATGGATTTTTTCCTAAGTTTTGGATCCTTGGTATTCAAGTTGTTTTTCCTCACCCTCTATCCACTAAAAATTGCTGTTTCATTTCCAGGGTAACAAATGATGCCCGAGAAAATGAAATGGATGAAAACCTGGAGCAGGTGAGCGGCATCATTGGAAACCTTCGTCACATGGCCCTGGATATGGGCAATGAGATTGATACACAGAATCGCCAGATCGACAGGATCATGGAGAAGGTAAGCATGTGGCAGTCAGCAAGATTCCATTGTTCATTACTTCTGAACTAAACACTGAGAAAGTGTGAGGGGCCTAATGAGACCCTCAAACCATGGCATTGGATTCAGACACATTGGTAGATGGAAAAATTCAGCAACAGATAAGTAGAAGATAGAATTTAATTTAGCAGATATTCCTCAGAGGCACCTCTATTTCCAGCATGGTGCTCAGCATCACAGGGCATATAGAGATGAGAATGATACCATCCATCTGCCAAGAAACTCACAGCCTAGAGGAGACTGTTAGCTTCCAGAAGAATTTACTGCCACAGAAAATATAATTCACTGAGCGAGCCACGCATAAAATGCTAAGAAGTTTAGATGAAGGAAGATTTCCAGGTTCAGAGGATGGGAAAATCTAAAAAGAAAAAGGAAATCGAACTTGAACTGAGTTTTAAAGGATGATTAGGAACTAGTCAGTGGATATGACTTAGGAATAAAATCAGGAAATGGGGAAAAGAGTAATTAGTTTAGGCAGAAGATGAATATAAGCTTTGATTTTTATAAATGCCAAAGTTTTAATGATAGTTCTAAAAGGCTCAGATTCCATTTCCAGCCAACAATACACATGTCCAGTTTTCAATGTGAGAAACATAATGTGACAAGGTTGAATTCACACAAGGACACCAGATATGACTCTGTAACTGAGCCAATAGGGTCACAAGAAGCATAAGGAAGAGTGGCAAGAGTAGAATGGGAAGGAGTGTGTGTGGGGGCTTGAGATTAGAAGGAAAGAGAAAGAAACATTGGAGGGCTTTTATAAAAAGGACACCAAAACCTAATATTACACATTATCTAAATCTGACATTGTTTCTGTATCCTTGTATTGCAACCCTCCCCAGTCAGGAGAATCTTGATTAATGCTTAAAATTTTTTTAAATACCCTAATTCAAAAGAAAAAAATATATAGACACATTATAGGTTTAATCATAATTGTGTATCAATTCTAGTTGGCTGAGCTTAAAATGCATAAATTTATTCCCTGGAAGATATTGAAGTTTTCCACCTGAGCCCCTTTATTTCCTTTTAACAATTCGTTCTACTTTCATGAATAAAGAAGGATGTTTTTGAGATCTCTTGAATCATAAGGCTAAATACTCAGTTTCTTGCTACCCAAGCAGTCTCCACTGACTTGAAAAAGGAATGAGTAGACATAAAGGAAACACTTTGCCTTTTTGTATCCTGAGGGCTCCATATTGAAAGTATCTGACTGCATAATATTTTGCCTGATCAATATTGAGTTACTCAAATGTCAGTGTTGGTTGGCGAAATGCTTGTGCTTTACTTATGTTTATAAGTCATGACATATTTACCATTGTTTAGAGCCTTTGATATGCTGAAGCTTTTAAGGCTGAGCAAATCAATAGATTTTAGAATGATACTGAGAGCTTGAAAAAGCACTGGAGCTAACACAAACTGACCTAACCCATTATGGCCCAGAAAAATACACTAAGAAGTAATTGCTGAACTACCTTCCAACAGAAAAATGATTTTAAAAAACAAGTAGTCATTTTCTATTCATGGATTCAATTTACTCAAAAGATGTAGGGGGATAATGTATTTCTAACTCAATTAGAGTTCCAGAGGAGAACTTTTACTAAGAGAGAGGGGTCAAACTTCATTGATAGAATTGGACGCGAAGCAAGAAAAAATGTTCCTGGAAAGGCAAGTGGCACTTTAATTCTGCCACTTCAAAATTCTAGCTTTATTCTTCAGGGAAACCCTTTCATTCTGGGCCCAAATTTACTATGAGGACAAAGACATATAAAGCTACATGGTTTAATCCAAAGTCCCGGTGGGAAACAGTCATATGGTTTGTATTGTTCCTTGAATGCTAAATTGCTTAAAAAGTAAGGAGGGGTTTAGTTGCCTTTGAATAACTAGCTCCCTCCCCAACCCCATCCAATTACAATCTGGACATGACTTAGTTAGAACCCATTTTTAACCCAGCACTGCCCTCAACTAATACATGTTATATGAGCTTCACAATTGTTAACAGACTTTCACCTTCTCATGTAAGTTTGCACTTCTGTTAAAAGGAAATGTTGGGCAAAGATCTCTAGAATACCTAAGATTAAATTAAAATTACATGAATTAAGAGAATTTTATGATGTTTTTCTCATATTCTCTCATGACCCCAACAACAACCTTCATCCAATTCCATCAGTAATGATCCTTCCTTATCATCTGGATTAATAATGAAATTTGGGGAGTTCAAAGCAACTTTCACTATATCCCCAAGGACTCTCAAGAAATTACTTTGCCTTTTTAAAAACCTTGCTTTCTAATTCAGGATATTTATATATGCAGGTGGGCAAAAGTAGGTTTACAGTTTGTATGGAAAGTAATACAATAATAAATACTATAAAAATAAACTGTAAACCTACTTTTTTTGGTCCACCCTTGTATAAACTCTTACAAGGTTAAAAAGGTACCATTCTTTCAGAAAACTAAAATGGGACAAGACTATATAAGATATTTTTATGGAGTTGTTGCCAAGGAAAAAACTTATAGATATGCAAACTTCAGTTAAAGCTGTCAGTGAGCCCCAGCCAGTTTGGCTCAGTGGATAGAGCTTCGGCCTGAAGACTGAAGGGCCAGATTCGATTCTGTTAAAGGCACATGCCCCGGTTGCAGGCTTGGTCCCCAATAGGGGGCTTGCAGGAGGCAGCTGATCAATGATTCTCATCATTGTTGCTTCTACCTCTCTTTCCCTCTCCCTTTCTCTCTAAAATCAGTAAAAAAAAAAAAAAAAAAAAAAAAAAAAATATATATATATATATATATATATATATATATACATTTTTTAAATAAATAAATGAAATTGTCAGTGGTAGATGTCACGCCTGATGAAATATAGTGAGTGTGCCGTAGCACTCCTCAGATTCTCCCATCAACTGGCAAACATGGCATTTGAAAACTAAGATCTTGGGTCCAATGGGGTTTTCCTGCTTCATGACCTTTATTTTCTCATCTGAAAGATAATAAGAAAATAATTCAAACCTGGGATCAGAACTGGCTGCCATGATAGGTAATGAGCCTCTAGTTCCGCAGGTCTCAGCTGTGGCCTAAAAACTACCTGTCATGGTCTGAAGTTGAGATTTCCAGAGTGTTCAGAAGGGCTGGCTAAACAGTTCCTTCTAATTCTCTTACTGGCTTTCCAGTGGGCATCTTCACTTTCCCACAAGGGCAAGTCTTGGGCATGCCGGCAAGTTCAGGATTCTCTAAATAGAAATAAGAAATTGAAGGGGCTGCATTCCACAAATACAGTTCTAAAGTACCTATGATTAAAGCATAATATGCTAATTAGGCAGCCAGCCAAACAACCTTCCAGATCACCTTCTGGACGAAGCTGGGGCTGAGAGGGCCGAGCCCCTTGAATGAATTTCGTGCATTGGGCCTCTAGTATAATTAGAATAAACATGGAGCATTCTCCAAATACCAGGAAGACACCTCGAAGAAGGTTACCTCAGGATTTTCCCCCCCAAAAAAGTACTAATTTTGTTACACCAATAATAAAATGGTACCTTTTGTGTCAGATATAATATGGGCTGGAATTTTGATTTGCTTCAGAAAGAATTTAAGTGGAAATCAGATGCTCATTGAACTCAGGTCTGTTCCAGCTCCTCCCAAATCCTTTAAAGATATCCAGAGTGATCATGTGCTCTACTTCAGATTATCCTCTTGCCTCACCAGGTGAAGCTCACCGCTACATTTTTAATGCAGGAGGCCCTAGGATATTTGCCTCCAGAAATGCCACCTATTTTGAAATGGATTTTTTTTTTTTCATTGAGCTTTTCTCAGGCTGGGAAAAATAGCACAATTCAACTTGTAGAGCATTGCACATTGACCTGAGCTTGTAATTTTCCTTTGCATCGAAGTGTCATTGTTTCTGATAGGATTTGTAGCTGAAGAAGGAAGATTTGAGAGCCAAGTAAAATTGGAGAGAATATCATTTTTCAAATTAGGAACCCAAGGCCCAAAATATGAGTCTGTAGATCAAAACAATCAAGGAAAATTAATGCTCTCACTTGTTTTGAAAGTCAACTCTTGATAATCCAAACATATGGTAGGGAATCATTGCCAGATAATTCAGATAATTCAGAGTTATGAATAACCTAAAATATTTATATTTCTACTCACAAACTGATGTTTGAATATGGATAACTCTAGTATCCTAGGAATTCACAATTAAACTGAATAAAGAAGACCCAACTTGAAAGAAATTGGAACACAAACAGTACTAGATGCAAAATCAGTAATCACTGAATAAATACTATTGATAGAAAAACAGGTCAGTTTTCCTGGAACATTTGTCTTTGCTTCTACTTGCTGCTTCATAGTTTCTCAGTGATGTTAGAAATAATTTATTTTCTGGGGTTTAAAGGTCTAGCTTGGTAGCAGCCCCGGGTTTCATGCTGTATGCACAGCAAAGGTAACTCAAGCAGTGAGGAGATTAATCAAGATACAAAATTATGGTAAATTCACCCATTTTAAAATAAATCAGTTATCAAACTTATCTTCAGAAATGGGGCTGAAAAAATATTAGACATCTCACAAGCAAGCCACGTTTTCACCAAACAATAATAGCAAGATAAGCTATAGCAAGCACTTAATTCGCTAATTTCTGATCCAATGTTTGAAATATCCTTTTATTATCTTTCAGATGAGAAAACCAGGTAATGAAACAGTAAAACCTTATTCTAAGCACATTATGTGTATATACACGGTTCATCCTCACAGCAAACCTAAGAAGTAAAATTAGTGACATAATGATAGGCAGTGTGGACTCGGCTGTTTGCATTTGGCTCTGGTGTCCCCATTTATGGGGACTTATGACTTTAGACAAACTGCCTAAATCCTCTATTCTTGGTTTTCTCACTTAGAGAAAGGAGCTAAAAATATACACCTCATAGATGATGTCAGTCTTGATGTTACTAAAGTTGAATGTATGAAACCTAGTAGACACTCATTCTCATTAGCTGTAATCTTTGTTGCCTTTGACTTAAAGATGAGAAAGCTGAGGCCCCATCATGTTAAGTAATTTACTCAAAGTGACACTACTAGTAAGTTATCCATGATTTGACCCCCCCAACACTAGTGGTAGTAATTCAACTCAATCCAACAGATGTGACTGTCTACCCTAGAGGTCAGTGGGTGTCACTTCAGGAGAGAACAATAAATGATATAACTCTGTCTTCAAAAGGATACTCTCTGGTGGGGAAAACAGCCATGAGACCTAAAATCAAGTATCTATGACAGCGTTTTTCAACCGCTGTTCCGCGGCACACTAGTGTGCCGTGAGATGTTGCCTGGTGTGCCGTAGGTGCAGACAAGACAAGAATTTTATAATTTTCCACTATTTTGTTTACTTAATATTTCATAATAAAGTAATTATAAAATACTTTCTTTGTGTTTATTTGATTCCTATTCAAGAGAATTACTTTATATATAGTCAATATAGGCACAGAGTTAAATTTTTTAACATTTTCTAATGGTGGTGTGCCTCGTGATTTTTTTCATGAAACAAGTGTGCCTTTGCCCAAAAAAGGTTGAAAAACACTGATCTATGATCATGTCCACTTACAGTCATAAGCAACACACACACATACACACACACACAAGGGATCGTCAATTCTGATTGAAGTTTCAAGATGCCTTCACCCAAAAGAGGGCATTTGAGCTGGACCGACAAGGATGAATGAAATGTTAATGGTTAACCTCAAATTTCTTTTCTTTCTCTTTTTCCCAGGCTGATTCCAACAAAACCAGAATTGATGAGGCCAACCAACGTGCAACAAAGATGCTCGGGAGCGGTTAAATGTGCCCACCTATGTTCTTTTCCAAATGCTGTCAGGCAAGGCAGCAACTTCATGCTTTTTTCATGGTATTACCTAGTAGGTCTACATACATACACGCATCAGTCCACCTCCATTGTAAATGTTGTATTGTGTCATCCATCAACTTCCCAAAAATATTGTGTCTTTTGTTCTTTCTGAGTCTCTCTCTTTCCAAAGGTTGTATATAGTGGTCATTTGGTGGCTCTAACTCCCAATGTAAGATGTCTTGGGTTTCATTTTTCTTTTTCTCTCCTCAGTGGCGTTTGCTGAATGACAATTTAAGGAATGTGCTGTTGATTTTTTCAATACAGAGTATTGTTCTTGTAAAACTGTGACATTCCACAGAGCTGCTGCCACGGTCCTTTCTTTGGGTGTTGGGCTCTGAAACTCTCAAAATTTGCTGTCTTTGGTTCCTCCTGGCTGTCATCTGTCTTTATGATTTCACGATTAGACAAATGTGGAATTACATAACAGGCATTGCACTAAAAATGATGTGATTTATGCATTTATGCATGAGAACTAAATAGAGTTTAGATTCCTACTTAATAAAATCTTTCCATGACAGCAGCATACTGATGAAAACACACACACACATGCAACAGCAACAACAAAACAGCAAAGCATGTTCAGTATTGAGACTGTCAAGATTAATTTATACCAGCAAAACTGCAGTAGTGTCACTTCCTTTCTGTCAAGATAGTCTTATTAATCATCATCATCCTTTTTAAAAAAAAAAAAGAATTTTTTAAAAAGATGAATTTGACACACTCACCATTCAATCATTTCCAGCAAAATAAACATTTGGCTGAAACTATGTCAAATGATTGTAATATAGGGTTTGTTTGCTGCTTTTGAAGACTGTGTTTTGAGAAAGCAATCTTGCTTTGAAACAGTGTGGAGATGTAAATTTTCTAAGGCTGACTCTTACTAATCACCGTTTTCCCTGTGATTTGTTATCAGTACAGTTCTCTGTTGCTTAATCTAGAGCTATGCACACCAAATTGCTGAGATGTTTAGTAGCTGATAAACCTTTAAAAATAATATAAATGAATGAAATATAAACTGTGAGATAAATATCATTACAGCATGTAATATTAAATTCCTTCTGTCTCCTCTGTCAGTTTGTGAAGTGATTGACATTTTGTAGCTAGTTTAAAATTATTAAAAATTATAGACACCAAATGTCTGCTTTCACTTCTTCCTGGACCCCATCTGACTTTGCACTCACATAGGAAGAGGAGACCTGGATCTCCTGTCCTATTGCTTCTAAGAAGCCAATTCTGTGTGCTGAGGACACTGTATGGAAAAAACAAACGCGTCTCCTTTAGAGACAATTTCAATGGCAGTTGAAATGTGGCTTGATTTTTATAATCTGTTTCAGAAATATGTGTGTGTAGATTGATTGTTGGCTGTGGGGGGATATATAGTTTTCCAGAAAATAGAAAAAAGGGTGGTGGGGGGGAGAAATCTGTGGTGTTCAGACTTGGCCCTACATAGATTTACGTATATCACCTGTCAATCAACTCTTACTCTTCCTTGCTCCACCCAGTATACTCTCACCAAAATTGAGCCCTCCAGAATCACTAGCACTGCTACCCCAACTTTTTAACAACTTTTTGACATACGTTATAGGTCACCTATTTAAAGTATATAATTCGTGGTTTTTGGTATACTCAGAGTTATACAATCTAATTTTAGAATAATGTCATCCCAAAAAGAAACCTGATTCTTATTAGTCATCACTCCTACCCCACTTCCCCCAGCTGTAGGCAACCACTAATTTATGTTCTGTTTCCATAGATTTGCCTATTTTCATCATTTCATATAATGGAATTAGATACAATAATATGTGATCCTTTATGACCGGCTTCTTATATTTAGCATAATGTTTTCAAGGTTCATCTATGTTGAAACATGTAACAGAGCTTCATTCCTTTTTATGGCCAAATAGTATATGGAAAACACATTTTGTTTATCCATTCATCCATCAATGGACATTGGGATTACTTTTGCATTTTGGCTATTATGAATTGTGTTGCTATGAACACTCATATATAAGTTTTTGTATGGACATGTGTTTTCAGTTTTCTTGACATCACTATCATTTTTTCTACCATAATTGTCTCTACCACCAACACTTACACTAGTATCACCATTACCTGTAGTACCTGTACCTCCACCATAATCACTGCCTTGACTACCACCACCTTTACCTTTCTACTGCATCTTACCACCTCTCCATCTTAAATGGCACCTCCACCTTTATCACTGCTACCTTCCCAATTACCATTATCACCTCCATCACCATTGCCATCACCACCATTGCCTTCACCTCCATCTCTTTCACCACCTTTACCAAACCACCATTACCTCCCTCAATTCATAGTCTGAGTAATTAAAATCCCACACCAGATACAAGTAAGGTATGAAATGGGCATTTTGCTTTAAGATCCATCCCATAATTCATTCTGAAGCATATTTCTTAGATAATTGAGTTCATTCAACTTCAGCTCTAATGCAGTCAGCTCCTTTTGGCTAAAGGAGAACATATTCCCTGAGGATGAATCAGCTCTGCGTAATGTGCCAACTCAGGAAGTACTTAGAAATGTAATGAGGAGGAACACTGTACAAGCTAAATCTTCCATCTCTCTCTCCCATTACCTTTCTACAAAAGGCCAGATGGCAGAGAATGGTGATCCTGGGTCCTAGTAACAGAGTCCTTTTCTTTGTCTTTCCATTCTAGTTTCTACTATCCTTCCATATCCTCCCCACATTTGATTTGACCAACTTTCCCTAATCTTTGTCTCAGTGCTTTGTCAGCAAGTTGATGATTGCAATGGAAATTAAGAGAAAGAAAAGAAAGTTTATACTTTGTAATCATCCAGTCCATGCCAAGGTGCTATGTTAAATGCCTTATTTAGTTAGATTCATAAACTCTAAAATGAGCATTATAGCCCATTTTGCAAAAGAAGATAATAGTTTAGTTAAATAAGTTATCCCAGCTAGTAAGTTATAGAGGCATGATTCAAACCCAATGTGTATAAAGCTTTAGAGAGGCCTGAGAAATAAATTCAGGATGGTGCCTCTCTCAATTCAAACAGGAAACTCCAGAATATATTTGGCTTCACAAGAACAGCAAAGACAAATGTACTGGACTTCTTAGCAGGAGGCCTTGGTGAACCTACCTTTCATCATTCATTTATTAATTTGTGAAATATTTTCTGAGCTTCTATGCCAGGTCCTGAGACTTAAGAGCAACGTGGGGGGTGGGGGGTTGAATCCATGCATTCATTGAACTTACACTCAAGCTGGGGAGAGATAGCTAAACCAACAAGTAAAATATAAAGTATATCAGATGGTAAGTGTCAAAGAGAAATATAAAACAACTAGAGGCCCGGTGCATGAAATTTGTGCACAGGGGGCGGGGGTGTCCCTCAACCCAGCCTGCACCCTCTCCAATCTGGGATCCCATTTAGGGCAGTGCTGGCTCCCAAATGCTCACATGCCTGCCTTCCTGATTGCCCCTAACCACTTCTGCCTGCCAGCCTGATCACCTTCTAACCACTGCCCTGCCAGCCTGATTGATGTCTAACTGCCTCCCTGCCAGCCTGTTTGTTCCAACTTCCCTCCTCTGCTGGCCTGGCCACCCTTAACTACCTTCTCCTGCAGGTTTGATTTCCCCCAACTGCCTTCCCTTGTAGGCCTGGTCCCCCCCCCCCCAACTGCCCTCTCCTGCTGGCCATCTTGTGGTGGCCATCTTGTGTTCACATAGAGGCAGGATCTTTGACCACATGGGGGCAGCCATCTTAATCTTGTGTGTTGGAGTGATGGTCAATCTGCATATTACTCATTTATTAGATAGGATAGAGGCCTGATGCATGGTTGGGGGCCAGCTGGTTTACCCTGAAGGGTGTCCCAGATCAGGGTGGGGGTTCCCTTGGGGCGTGGGGCGGCCTGGATAAGGGGCCTGTGGTGATTTACAGGCTGGCCATGCTCCCAGCGACCCATGCAGAGGCCCTGGTATCAGGAATATAGTTATCTTCTACAATTGAAACTTTGTAGCCTGGAGCAAAGCCAAGCCCTCTGCTTACTCTGTGGCTGCAGCCATTTCTGTTGGGAGTTACTCACCTTCTATAATTGAAACTTTTTTTCCCCTTCAATAACTTTATTCTTTAATAATATATAAATAAATAAGTCTCCAACTCCATGGCTGCAGCCATTTTTCTTGGGACTTATCTTCTATAATTAAAACTTTGTATCCTTGGGTAGAGGCCTGGGCCCACCAAGGTGTGTGAAAAGCTTGGCTTCCTTCCATTCCTGGGGAAACCCAAGCCTCATTCCTGCTCTCTGTGGTGGCAACCATCTTGGTTGGGGTTAATTTGCATACTCACTCTTAGTGGCTTGTGAGCATAGCAGAGTGATGGTTAATTTGCATATTACTCTTATTATGTAGGATGAAGGGGATAAACAGTGGAGGCATAGGCAAGAGGGTGTTATTTTAAAATAGAGTGATGGGGAAAGACCTCACAGATGAAGTAAGTTGAAGCAGAGAATTCTTCAGGTTTGGGGATAACTAAAATGATATGTCCAGAGTGAATGCATTTGGGAAGCAGGGGCCAGGATTGATGAAGCAATCAATGTACAAGCTACTTATATTTTTTTCATTAAGTAATGCTGGGGTACCTCCTCTGCAACTCAGTCAATACCTGTTTGAATTTTTTCCCCCTTGTTCAGAAGAGACTTGCAAAATCCTTGGCCCAAGCAGGGAGGCAAGTTTAGAGAATGAAACAGTGTGCAAAGGATGAGTATTAAGTTATACTTTCTTAGAAGAGTTGAAAGTGTTGACTTCATGGTCCAAGATGTAGGAATTCTTGCTCTAAGTGGTCTGTGTATAATTATCAACTTAGTCATTTACCTTTGAGTAAGTTAGTGATATACCTCAGGTTCTCCATCTAGGTTTTAGAAACTCAAATCAATGTCCTAGAATGGAGAAGATTTGGGAAAACAAGGAAAAAAAGAACAGGAAACTATTTAATAGTCATTTAACCATAGAGCCCATGGTTATTTCCAGGATGAGTATGGAACATTCTAGAGTTCCACTCCTAAGCAGGGTGCCACCAGCTGATATTTCCTACCCACCCTTACACCCATCCTTTGCTTCTCCAGGCTCTTACCATAGGGGCTATACTGTTTTGAGTTTATGATTTTTTTTCCACAAACAACTCAAGAAAAATGTCTACCATAATCCTTCTGCTGGACGCTGCTGGTGCCCTGGCCCACATCCTCTGAGCACTTACTCCACTCACAAAGGCTGTTGCACTGAAGAACCCTGTAATTCTCTGCCTTGGGGCTGAGAACAACAGAAAGGCTGACGTTTTAATACCCCTGGAAGTAGTCCTCAACCAGGATGATCAGGGATGAGTTAGTGTATATCCAGTTTGCTTGGGCCCAGTTTGGATAGCTTTAAGTGTGTGTTCTACATTTTATCCCAGAATGCTTCCAGCAGACTCAATCTCCGGTTTCTCACATGATAACTTGCCTGATGATTATCATTGTCTTTATCAACTCTCTTTTCTCCAGTGTCATTACCACCTCACTACTTGTGTTTCCTAGAATCTCTTCTCAAACTACTTGCTCCCAAATTCTTGCTTGAAGGTCTGCTTCTGAGGAAGCCTTACCTTAGGCAATATTCTCTCATGAGATAGAGGCCAGCCTCTGAGCATCTCCCCCAAAACACCAACATAGGGAAATGTGCTGCCTTCCACCTCCTTCCCAGCATTATTTGGACCCATCCTTAGTCAATGAAATGCTCCTTTATTCCTACCACCTGCATTTAAAAACTGGCATTCCTCAGTGGTGAGCAAGGAGCTGCATGCAAATGCCAACTATTGCCTGAGTCCATTGACCTTCATCTGTGAGCTCCAGCTTCTGCCCCTCATGCACCACAGCATATCCCCCTCCACAACCCCCAATGCATGGTTGGAGAAACAAACCATGTAGTAAAAGGCAATATGTGCCTCCCACAAAATTATAAACTAAAGGGTAGCAACCATGTGCTATGGGAAGAGAATTCAACCAGGAATCTTGATACTTTCCTGAGCTTTAGTCTATATATGTCTAAGCAAATGTTTATAATGATGCTTGCCTTGCCTATTTCATTGGACGGTTAAGAAAATCTACTA